TCAACTTTCCTGACAGACTTTTGATGACGGGCGCGTGATAAGGAAGTATGTACTCAAATTACAACAGGAAATTCAGGAACTATAAATTACTATATGAATATTATGTGAAAGGTTCTCTACGAGGTAAATCAACGGTGTAAACTGTTAAGTGCATTTATGAAAATGCTTTTAATGGAAATAGTAGAGTTAAACTACAACGATATTAAAGAGAAGGCACTCTTCTGAAAAGCATGGTAAAATTATGGCCTTTTTGTCCAGTGTGGACGAATATCAAATTATAGCAACGTCACATGCACATACAAGTTGCACGGGAAGGGACATGGGTTCCACTTCATCCCTTTATTGATTCGTTAAAAACAAAGTCATCCATCATGGAGTCGAGACCTTTTCTAATCCATTAACCCAGGTGTTTGGCGGACTCTGTGATTTGTCTGCCCCGCCCCTTTAACAAGTCAGGTTACACCAGTGGTCACATCGACTGGTCTGCTCTTAAAGTGGTATCGTATTTCAAATATGACTATTGAACGAAAAGGAATATACAATATGAAACGTTGTCTATGATTATAAATGAACGGAGGGAGATTCCCTTTAATAACAAGTAAAATTCATATTAATTGCATTTATCACAACGTTTACAGGGAAATATAGGATATAACCACTGCAGTCCACTTATAGTTATTACTTAGGAAGATTGTAACTACTGGAATTCAAGATGATACACCATACAAACTATCAGACAAAACATTTTTTTTCTAGCTTGTTTAACTGTCGGTAAAGGAGTTATTAACATAGTTCATTATATTTCCATAATATGACACCTACACAAATTATAAATGCTATATCCTCGTTTTCGTTAATGGTCAAATGTTGTTCTTTATATTGCATTCAGGGGGATATTGTCATGTTGACAAGATGACTTATATCCACGAGGTACACTACGCTGCATCATAACCATCTACATGACTTGTATACATTATAGGGTATCCCCAACAATTTTCAGCCCAATGGCTTTGAATTTAATTTTTCATTGTCATGATGGCTATACGTCATGTCAAACGCACGCAAAAGGATCATCAGTTGTATTGAATATATATATATATTTATTTTTTCCCTATACCAACATTACACGGGCTAATATCCGTCTTCTGTATTATTTCAAATGGATCGTGCCCGGTGTGGTTGGGAACACCCGCGTATTTGCAATAATTTTAGTTTCGACGTGTCTTGAAAGGAGAACGTGACGACGGATAGCTTGGCATCCAGCCGTTAGGGTTTTTGTGTGTACATGTTGGTAATAATTACGAAGTTATAAAGTCCTATAATATGAATGTACGCATTAAATACTCATAACGCAATCCCACAGCAGTGCAATAATTTCACTTACCGAGCATATCTTACTTTAGACTCAACACTTAATCCGAGCTTTGGGGGTGGGGGGGGGGGGGGGAGGGAGGGGGTCATCCTAAGATCGAGGATCTTTGCTGTATACCCTAAGCAGTTATATAATATTCAAGTAGCCTTTACGCATTAGGCTATCAAAATAATGTAATACATTAATGCTAAAACATCAAATTACACAATACACGCGATGATATAATACCATGTAGGTTTTTGAAAAGGTCAGAACAAAGATGATAGATGTATCCGCCCTCCCCGGCCTGGGACGGAACGAAAGTAGCAGTCCGCTAGATAGCAATCTCGAGAAATGTCATGAAATATAATAGATAATTTATATATGATCAATAAGACAATATTGTGAACTTAATAGTATATCAAATGACATGATAAAAACAAATCCCCACTTCTAACTCCTAACACTGATCAATTACAGTTTGTGTGTTCGTTCTGCAATTCTGTGTTTTAACACGACCCATTATGTAAACTGTAATCACCTCTGCAATTGTGTTTCACGGGCGTGTCTAGTCTTGCCCCAAGACTAGACGTTGTAAATACATGTATACACAAACAAAACCGATCATGAACGATAACGTCATCTATTTGTGATGCTTCGCCAGGTGAGCAAACGGAGATGGACAACAGGGATATAATCATATAGAGCGCTTACAGAAAGATGCAATTGTATGCAAATAGCCGTAGGAGTACAATAGGGGGCCGTTATATACCGTAGTTGCAAATCTACCCAAAATAACAGGCTTGGGAACTGCCAAAAGCGGTAGAAAAATGGAGCCAGTTTAGTATACAGATATAAAGGTGTACTAGTTTTATGATGCAGACACCAGAGAATATTATCTTTGGGGTTCGTCATTCTCTTTTTATTTTAGTATACAAATACAGTTATTATTTATGGTCTTCAGCGCTATCTAGTATCTACCCATTTTGTTTAGGGCATTCAATTTCTTGTTTTTGACAGAACTTTGTAACATAAATCAAACAAAACAATGAAAGCAAAAAACGAAACAAAGAACAAACAAACAAACACAACTGCATTAATTATAACCAATGGAAAGGGGTTATTTCAACTGAGCAGATGTATATAATATCAACACGAACTGAACACATTGAATGAGCCTTCTCTTCTTTTGATTAAATTTCAGTTGAAAAGATTATCAAAGAGGAAAATTCCCCTAAAACAAGAGAATACTTCAAATGCCCCTATAATCGACATAATGGCAAAAGTACTTGACATGTTGTTTTTTCATCTAAAATAAACGGTCTGAGACCTGAGAGACTACTGCATCTTGCTCCAGTAGGTTTGCATGAAAGAGCTACCCTAGTTGAACTTATCGGGGGCAGAAAATAAACAAGTTTACCCAGCCGAACACACAATGACTTCACAGCTGTTCAGGTCTTTGTTCATGTGTAAAAGACCCAGTACCTGGTGTGGGTATATACTTGATACCTATTTTGAAATGGGTATTCACACTTGCGACATAGAAATATTACAACGTGAGTCACCGAGTCACATGCGGGACAAAACAATTAAGATACTGCTTTTTAAACTTTCGCAATATGTCGAAATTTGACGGGACTGAGCTAGAGAAATGATAAAGGTTCATGTAGAACCACAATGACCATAGTCCTCTGTTTGCAATAGGCAGCCAGTTTTTATTTCCCCATAAAGTATATTCTATTTCAGGACAGTAAAACAGCATTAAAAGTACGATAGAAAGGACATATTACTTCGAAAACCCCTGAGCTAGAGAAATGATAAATGTCCATGTAGAACCACAACGACCATAATCCTCTGTTTGCGAAATGCAACCAGTTTTTACTTCCCCATAAAATCAATTCTATTTCGAGTCAGTAACACAGCAATAAAAGTACGATAGAAAGGCCATATTACTTCGAAAACCCCTCAATAAGTTTGCTATAAGAAACCAATTACATGAGATTTTAAAGGAACTATATATGATTCATAAATTTCTCTGCTGCTTCAATATTTCATTTTGTATTTGTAATTAATATTAATGGGTAGAGAACAAAGTTCACACACTTCATATAATTTGTTTTACTGTTTGAAGTTCACACTCTTGCCAATAAAGCCATTGCGTGGGAACCCACATTGTGGTAAAAAAAACGCCCTGAACGGGTGCCAAAAGTATGTAAATATTCAAGTCATAATAACACATTATGAAAGAAAGTGACCTTCAAACCACAATGATTCATTTACCATTCCGATATTTTATCTGTGTGCACAACATTATGATACATGGATGTTGAACGCATAACGAACACATCGTGTATTGTTAATGAAATACATGCACACAGATGCAATTCGGTGGCCCATTCATTTAGTAGTTCAACTGGTATTGTTCCTTTGGAAGAGAAAATTTTAATTGTCTTTAGGAGAGGCTAGCTAGCTTAAATCAGAGTAATGACTCGAAACAAAGCACTCAGTAAACACAGATCGAGTTTCCTCGGAAGTCGCATGTGATATTAGAGGGTTAAAGATTTTTAAAAAAATATGCCAGCAAGTATGGTTTCTTTGTCCTGCACTTTGAAACTATACAGGATGTATTTATGGCGTCTGTGGAATATTACACCTAAACATGATTATGAAGCATGTGTGCCTCACATTATGTTGTCCCAAGTGCCAACCATTCTTAATTGTATTTTGTAGTTTTATAGAAAAAAATCTGGATCTAGATTATACAGACATGCATCATCTTGTTTGCTATTGTCATTTGCATGCATTATTTTTCCAACCACATCCACCCTGTTGTTTGTTACATCATGGTTGTATATATTGCCTATGTTATTGTGCATGTAACAAAAAATATTTGTGAGGCTTGTAGATCCCGACTGGGTCTGAGTTATTGTTGAGAATATGTATGATGCCAATCAATCATTAGGGAATTGTGCAATTATGCAATTCTGATTCCAATTGCAACTATGTGTACATGTATGTCCATATCAAGAGTATAATAATCTACAAAAAGTAAGCTATTTCTTGCTCTATGCATGGGGTTTCTTTGTAGGACCTGCTAATACATTACTAGAAACCATCAACTATCAATCATGCTTATGCCTGGATGCAAATTGCATGCATATGGATGCATGTACTGGATGCTTGTATACATATGTGATTAACACATGTGTCTCCCTGACTGACGAGACTCAGGCATTCCAGCTATGCATGTGTCACTCGAACTCAGCTAGACTGTATTACCTAGGAGGTACCTCCATGGTATTACACAGTCTATACGAGCCAACACATAAATTGTATTACTGAATTTCGATGAAAAATAACATAAACTAATATATTGATAGCAAACAATGGCTTCCCTTAGTTCATGCGCAGCTTTGTATTGTATGCACATCAACGTTATTCGACACTCATCTTTGTTGACCTTTCTGAAAATATAATTTTGTTTGATTTTAATGTAACAAATAGACCATGATCAGCATAAATCAGAGTAATAATTGCAATACGCAAGTACACTTAGATAGAGCGTACAAAGAAAAGCTCATTATTCGGTGAAACAAAAAACAGGATATGGCAATAACAAAGGATAACATCATCATCAGCGTGCACTTACCTCCGACAAAAATCATAACATACATCCGCAAAGATAAGAAGCTCAATTTTGGAGAGGAAATATCCGCCATGGTTCTGCGTGTTGGTTATTCAAAATATGCCAGCATATAGATGAATAATCCCGGAGAAAAGGAGAGCTCTATTGCACGTTTCCGAGCTCAATTCCCGTCGATTTGGTACAGTTTATTGTGCCTGTCGATATGAGGCTCGCATTTCTTTGTCGTCGCATGTCATGTGTTAGCTTTGTGTTGGCGAATCAGCTGTGCAGATCGCAAAAAGAAAACATAGAAAATATCGTCTGCGTTGAAACACGCAGGGACCCCCATGCATTTCGTACCAACCGTACACACACGATTAAAGCTATGTAGGTGGTGGATGGGCGAATGTGTGTGTGTATTTGGTGAGCTCACGCCGAAGAGGAAAGACCTCGCTCGCTCTCCGTCGATAATTGTTATGCGCAGCTCGGGCGGATTTCGTTCCCGAGAGCGCAAGACACGTGCCAAAGCATAATTACTTAGTGACGTCATTTAGGTCATGTGATCCCCTGTTTCTAGGGGATTCCCCTGTCTTTTCGACTTTCGCTCGCCACTTGAACTTATGGTATGAACCTATTAGAATAATACACAACTGGGGTTATATGAGATTACCTGAGAAGGATTGAACTATAATGATGTCAATTTTCCTTCCACCAGGAAATTATTTTTGTACTATCTGCTGAGCGGAGGAAATAGTAACCAATGAATGTTGCCATGTACTGAAGTCCGGCTCTACCTTTACAGGATTTGTCTAGTTTTGGTATACCCCCCTTTTGGTATATCCCCCCCCCCCTCCCACATATCTACAGATCTGTTAACATTAGACAGTGACTTAACACAAGTAAATTACCATTGCTACTTTCATCAAAATTATTAACATACGACTCGGTCATTAATATAATTAATATCTATTATATTTGTCCCTTATATATAATTATAATTCTTCCAAACTCAGAAGGTTTTTTTTTTATTTTCATCACATAATAACTTAACTATACTCGCCGTTTTACTCTCATATATTTATTTAATTTTGCGTATGAGTTTATTAAAGCTTTTTGGGGGTCATTATTTCACGCCGTAATTTTTTATCCCATGGCTTTTGTTGACTAAGACATTTGATAGACCTCAAAACCTGATCACGATCTGTGTCAAAACCATAGCTTATTTTTCTTTCGCCCTTTTTTAGTTCGACATTTATTATTATTGAATATAACTGCATTATAAATCATTAAATAAATATTAAATCATTTACTGCTGAATTAACCTGTGTTTCTATGTTACCGTTATCAGAGTCGTTGCAATCGGTTTGTAAAATATTTTCACGTATTTCTAAAAAACTCTTGTTTTTGAAGATTGTGCTTGAATATTTCATCGCGGTAGTTTACGATGGGCTGTAATTAATGAGTTTCTGCGCTACCGTTTCTCTACGTGACCCTGTTGTGCGAAACGTAAATGCAGTGTACGCTCGGTTTCTTTAGATGGTGGGCACTGTGAACTCGCCGCAAGCGGCTCGTTGCACAGAGTGGCACCAATCTAAGGAAACCTCGCGTGTACTGCATTCACCGCTTTTGCACGCTGGGACGTGCGTTATTTGTATAATATTGATTGTTATTTGACAATGATCATATAATATAAGGACTACAGTCATTGACCTTGAATGACATTACACTGGGTATAAGTGATGTTCTACATATACAATAATCGTCAATGGCAGCGCCCCCGTGTGAGTTAATTGTGCCCTTTGTTCGTATTGTGACATGCTACAACGTGCTTTAATGACCAAACCGATGTTTTTTTTCATGGATTTCTTCATGATTCTATTAATTGAAGCATCGTGTATGATGTGTATTGATTAATTAATTTGATTGGAGTTCGATTATTTATAAATGTGTCTAGATAAAAAAAAACATAAACACGAATTGCTACGATTTTTTTCAGTGTAGCTTATTAAATTGTTAAACAAATAATGATAGTGTAGACATTAGGGATAATGATAACATGTGATATTTCTATAACACAAATATCCTCCACGCAAGTAGCCTTTTGACAAGGCCTTGTGACTCTGGCTAAGCGGCTGAGATGAGTCTAGATACCCGGAGTGAACGCGCGACCGCTCCAATATTATCGTATCAGGACAAATCTACCCCCGGTAAAATACCACCAAGGAGAGCTACCCAACGAGGACAGTCACCCCCGGAAATTACCACCTAATATGTATCCTAACTCCTAAACATTACCCCTAGAACAATTACAACCCCCCACCCCCCTTTCAGGAAAACCAAAGACAACCTGCCCGAGGACAAATACCCACCCCCCAGAAAATTATCCCCTGTTAATTAAAGGGGAAGTCCGCCCTGATGATAAGTTGGTTTCGATTTATTTTTTTTAGTGGGGTGGGAAAATTGTCCATGGGGGAATTTGTCGGGGGTATAATTGTCCATGAGGGTGATGATTGTCCAAGGGGTTAATTTTCCAGGGGAAGTAATTTTCCAGGGGGTAATTGTCCTTGTAGGTAGGTTGGTTTTTCCGGGGGGGGGGGGGTTTCCGGGGGCGGGTGGTAGTTGTCCTAGAACCCAATTTTTCACCGGTTCTGCTAGGCTACCAATTTTGGTGCTCTCAAGTCTCAGCATTCAGGGAATTCCGTCCTCATGATACCAATTTAACACCTGGGTGGAGAGTAACAAATGCATTATGGCAATTTGTAATGACCTATAACTTATTTTTAAAACAGAGTTGCGTTCCTGTGGAATAGTCTCCAGACTGTGATCCTAAAGGTACGCGGTTCGAATCCTTGTCGCTGCACTAGTTTTCCTTTGGCACGACATTAATCTGCATTTCCCACTCCGTCCAGGTAATGTGAATGGATGCCATGGGGCCCAATGCGAAGTCCACTGTTATTATTATTATTACTGTTATTATTATTATCATTCCACTTATTCTATTATTACAATTTCTCCTCTCTGGCATCCATCTTTCAATAACCTTTCCTTTCAATGGGTGTGCTTAAGTCTAGCTTTTTGGGAGGGAGGGGGGGGGGGGGGGCGGAGGTGTTGTTGTTTCATTGTTTGCTTCCAGACATGTGCCTCCTGTCACCCGCCTAGGTTGTCAACATTTTTACATATATTTGGTCCGCACCGTATGCTTTAGCTCTCCATTGCTGCACCCGTAAGCATTAAAGAGCGAAAACACGGAGGAATTTGTGAATATGATGGAAATGATATGTTGAACAGCTGATTGGCAGAAATGCCTCGATTTTATTTTCATTATCAATTGATTTAAACACGATTAATACATAACAGCCAGTAGATGTTTATCAAATATGCGCATACACGAGATATGAATTTCTTTATTCGTTCTTCATTAAAAAAAAAGAAAGATATACAACGCACGTCAAGGAAAAATCATGATAAGCCAAGGGAGGGGGGGGGGGGGGGGGAAGGGGAGGGGTAACACGAATTTTGAATAAGGTAATAGGAGAATTTTCTAAGCATATATGGCAAAACAAATGATTTGGGGAAGTACGTTTACTTACTACAGCTAAATAAAATATGGGGCTTTGCTGTGGTTATCTGGCTAAGAACGATGGAAGTGCTCAAGTCGTTAGATGGCGCTATTCATATTGCCTTAATTCCACATTGAGTTGGCTTCCTGCACAATTTGACCGTCGATTTGGAAAAAAGGATTCGAGTTTTCTTTTCGGTGCAACTTAATGGCACAAAACAACCTAATGGTTAATGTTTATATATTTATTTATTCATTTACTAATGTTTTGTAAAAAAAATTAAATACTAGATTGACACATGATTTCATGGTGACATGTTTGCAGGTGTAACGTCGCAAATGCCAGAATTGTCCCCGTTTCTGATAAACCAGTTTATTTACTCATATAAATGTTACGCATACTTTCTACACATACGTCATTCTTTACAACCTGAAAGGTTGATCGATGCTTGCCCGACATAGTAATAAGTAATGTATGGCGATTGAAGTCCAAGTATTGCAGTTTATTCATTTAAATTGGGTTAATGGACTTACTCGTCACTATGTCCCCAGAGAACAAGCACCGAGTCTCGTAAATTTGATTATATTAGTAAACAGGTCTTTTATTAGTGCTTTCACCTTCCAACAAAGCATTGCGTTGTCATTTACCCCCTTAACGGCAACAAAGTACATTGAACAAGTTATTATGCCTATCATGTAAGTACGGAAACCTTGCACGGACAACAAACTACAAAACTAATTGTATTGCTTTCGTTTTAGTGGTACTGATTTTATTTCCAAAACCTTCACCTGCTATGAGTCCATTGAACTTTAAATTCCATCTTTACTTTCACTTATTAAGTTTTTGATTTAATTTGATTTGATTTATTGGTTTCTGCATCTTTTTTATTTTTTTTATCATACATTTTCATGAACATAATATGGCTTGATACAATATTTCAAGTGTATATAATTTTATACAGATAATAAACGATATTAAACAAATATATTGAATTTAAACAAATATATTGAATGCATAATTAACATACATTAGATGCAGGAGGGCTACAAAAATAAGCAAAGTAGCTTGACGTGCCGGCAGCCCTCAACTTAGATACAACAATACAAATACAAATAAAAAAGAGTGACTTGCAGAAAAGAAAGGGAAAGGGGAGAGAAGGAAGAGGAGGAGGAGGAGGAGGAGGAGCGTTGGTAATAATACAATACATCTCATACATCTGCTGATTGAATGCAGGTTCATTCATGAATGGAAAGACGATGCTAGGTCATGGACGATTACACATCATTGTTGAATATACAGTCAATGTACACACGAACATGATTACAGTAGAATTACACACAACGTGATCAATACTTAGACAATAACATAGTTTTAACTGCCTTCTTAAAAGAATAAAATGTCCTAAGGTTTCTTATTACAATGGGCAGAGAGTTTCAGATGTCTGGGCCGGCGTGTCTAATAGATTTGAGAGCCAATGCGGTTTTTGGATTTCTGAAATGGATTTTTTTCAGTTTGTCTTGTGGGGGGTAAGAGTGGATGTTTGTATTCAAATTGAACAATGGGGGAAAGTATGAAGGTAGTAGACCATTTTGTAAGCGAAACATGAAAAGTGCTATTTGTAGAAAATTTATATCATCAGCTTTTAGAGTTTTTAGTTTTGAAAACAAGGGATTGGTGCCCGGCCCCCCCCCCCCCCCCACTCAGGTTTCAAAATGACCGCATGCGTGTTGCCAAAATGTCCTTTTCGTAACAAAAGAAAAAGGTCGAGCCGTATTGACTTTACACACCGGACTTTTGCTGAAAAGGGGGGGGGGGATGCTGAAAAAGGCTCGTATACAAAAGAAAAAGGTCGAGCCGTATTGACTTTACACACCGGACTTTTGCTGAAAAGGGGGGGTCGGTTGGAACACGCATATGCGTACCCTAAATAACACTGAGCGGGGGGGCCGGGGATTGGTGTGGTCGCGATAGGAAGAATCTGTACATCACTATGAACATGACTGACAAAGAAAGCGGACAAAATATACAGTTCCTCAGGTAGACAAAGGAACATCCCTTCACTGCTATTATGTAAAAATGTGTAGAACAGGTGTCACATGCATATTCACCTTTTTACATAATAGCAGTGAAGGGATGTTCCTTTGTCTACCTGAGGAACTGTATATTTTGTCCGCTTTCTTTGTCTGTCATATTCATAGTATATACGCATGGCTTTCTTTTGTAACAGTAAAATGGCGTCAACGTTGCTTTTCGAATTTGCCCATATAATGTTACAATATGAAATATAATGTTACAATATGAAATATAAGGCAATATCAATGAATTATATAACATAAACAAGATATTTGAAGGGACATAATATTTCAATTTACAGAGAATACCAATATTACGTAAAATAGTATTAGAAATATATTGCACATGATTATTCCATCTCAGATTTTCATCGATCAAAACACCAAGGAATTTCGTGCTATCCGTCTTTTCCTATAATTCACCATCCAAAGTAATTTTAATGTCAGGAATATCGTTATTTTTTCTGTTCTGAAAGTATATATAGTTTGTTTTCTTTAAATTAAGAGACAGTTTATTACTTCTAAACCATTTTGATAATGTTGGTAATTCAGCGTTAATATTTCTTAAAAGGATCTGAAAATCTGAATTGGAACAAAATGCATTGGTGTCATCAGCGAATAAAATATACTGTAGTGCATTTGATGAATTATAAATATCATTTACATATATCAGAAATAACAAAGGGCCTAGGATTAACCTTTGTGGCACTCCACACGTTATAGATACTAATTCTGATTCATTTGAATCATAACATACATATTGTTTTCTATTTGTTAAATAATTTTTAAACCATTGTATAGCAACACCCCTCAATCCATAGTATTCCAATTTACGTATAAGTATTGTATGGTCAAGAGTGTCAAATGCCTTACTCAGATCCATGAATACTCCAATAACATGCTTATGATCAGCTAAGGCATTTGACACTCTATCAAATAATTGTAACAAAGCTAACTCCGTTGAATGAAATTTTCTAAAACCATATTGATTTTCATACAACAGTTCATTTTTCGTTAGAAAATCATACAGTCTATTATAAGTCAGTCTTTCTAAGACTTTAGAAATACGTGGTAAGATAGAAACAGGTCGGTAATTTGAAACTAGAGAAGAGTCGCATTTTTTTGTATATTGGAATTACTTTTGCTATTTTCAGAGAGTCCGGAAATACTCCCGTTGTAAGTGATAAGTTAAATACAATTGCCTTTTCATTTGCAAAGCGCAAACAGAGTTCATCCATCTCCCAATGTCTTCAGTTTCAGAGTCCCCTTCTGCCGTTATCATGACCACTGTCTGTCCCATGTACACGTTCATGATGGACCACCTATCCATCCATTCGTCTCTGAGAGATATCAACACAAACACAACACAATCCACTTCACAGTTAACCAGGTCACTTTCTCCTAGTCCCCAAAACATAATTTTACCTTTTTTCTTCACTTCCAGACTTCGTTCGCAAAGAGTTCTCATTACAACAATTTCCTCCCGATTGCCAAGTCCAGCTCAAAACTCAAATTGATCATAGCCCAGGAAATTGTCCGCTTCGTTGGTACTTCTTGTTGTGATAAGTCCTAGTAAACTCTTTGAAGTATGGAACATAAGACTTAATAGGGACTTTTAGATTTTGCGTGGACTGAAACGTGTGACGTCCATTGAAGGCAGTGCATTACAAGGACGTCGATCGTAGCGTAGACCTATTGTCTTCGTGCGAATCTAAAAGTCCCTATTGTACGAAAGGCAGAGCACTTAGTAGAATTATTTGTCTTTAGTATGGGAATCATAGTTGTCCTAAGAAAAGAAAGTCTTCAGACCTTGTACGAGTTTCAAATATATTTTGAGATAACGTCTCAATTTCTTTCATTGCTTCCACATTGAGATTTTTTAGAAGTTCAACTGGTGTGTCTTGTTCTTTTATGAAGATGATGCTTTTCAAAACTGCCAATACTTGTCAAAACTGTGACAACTTTTTCCTATGACCAAACAACCGGGACTACTAAACGACTGGTTACTTTGTTGCATATATCTAATACCCCATTCACAGTGGCCTCAAACACCGCGACAGCAGCGGGACTGTCCCGCTGCTGTCGCGGTGCTGTCTTCAGTGTGAAGGCTCGGACCCGTTATAAACTATCGCGAGATAACACCGCCTCGCGATAACGCCGCGACAAACTATCGTTAGGTTCGCCTAGCTACAGCAGCGGGACAGTCCCGCTGCTGTCGCGGTGTTTACTCAGTGTGAAGGCTCTCCGCGATAACACCGCGACAAACACGTGTGATTTGTTTACTTACCTATCACTGACCTCTTTTCTCCAGCAATGGGGAACATAAAGTGAAATAGAAATAAAGTAACCAGTGGATTCAAATTGATTTTATTATTATGTAGATATTATAATTATCCAAATAAAAATATTTCACACTTCAAAAAATTAAAATATTCTGACTGGAAGTAATAAAAATGCTAGTTTTTTTAAAAAGTAATATGATCGAGGATACAAAAAGCAACTTGACATGTTTACCTTTTGCAATCGAAAACCCCGCGCTGAAGTATTTCCGGTCATATCGGGGTCACTCGCGGGTCATGAGCCATGCATACACGTGTTTGTTACGGAGGTAATAGAAATCACCCGCTGCTGCGTGAATGGGTACATGATATTTATCCCGCTGCTGCAGCGGGATAACTTTTCTACTGTGAATGCATTTGTAGCGGTGTTATGGCGGTGTCGCCGCTCCGCTACAACGCCGCTACAAATTTCAAAACCACTGTGAATGGGGTATTAGACAGGTCAACGGCGTTGCCATACCTCACAATAGGGGAAACAGTTACACACTTGTCTTTATCCCACGGAGGGAACACCAAGTTTCTATTCTTTAGTCCCAGCAATGTCTTTTCATTTGGTATCATCGGCATGAATCTGCTATACGCTTCGAGCACCTCGTCCGTCGACCACAAAACGCGACGTTCCTCAGTATTGTCGTTTCTTTCCAAATATAGAAGGTTGTCGCGAATATAGACCATCTTCCCATTCTCGTAAATCATAGCAAACATCCCTTCATCGAACATTTTCATTTTGGGGCGCGGAAGAGCATTAAAGACGTACGACATTGGTTCATTGAAGTAGTCGAGATCACGATCTGTAGCGATATCCATCTCCGATATCAATCTCCAGTTAGTTAGGTGGGTGTGGTCCTCGAGAAGAGAGGAGTCGGAGTCACTTTCAGGAATGTCATGGAAGCGTTGCAGGTCGTTCCTACCAAGTTTGAATCTATACGTCAGAAAGGAGTCCTGGTACACCGGGCTCTCTTCCTCAAAGTCAAGCGGAATAGGATGAAACGTTGGATCCGATGCACCAACTTCTACCAGATGCCGCTGACCTTTGACCTCAACATCGTGAACTATGTTGGTCACGTGATATCGGTCGTGGCCCATGAACTTCCCTCCAATGAGATGAACGTTGTACCCCAAAACAGCTAGGAGTCTGTATGAAATGACAAAAATGCAAGAGAAGCGAGCGTTTAAATAAACAAGCATCGTTGTATACAGTACAAAAGTGTGACGTCATACTAGTCAAGTTATCAAGGTTGCTGGTTTGTATTAAACAATGTGGTTATCACACCAGCGCCTAACACTGAGTTTGCCCTAATGATCGAGGTGAACTTCATGCGCAGGCTCAGTTATTATTTTTTGGAGCTAGTAACCTGGACGATGAGCGAATATGACGTGGCGCTTCGGTACTCCGTTACTGCAACATTGATTACTAAAAATAAAAATTACTAAAAAATAATTTCCCTTTCATCAATATATAGTAATATCTTATAAATGCCCTATCAAAATAATGGGGTCCGTTTTCCGTCGACAAATGCCCGTTTCCTATTCTCATGACTAACTGTTTTCATCCCTGTGAGTGCCTCTTTTCGAATGTGTAAGAAGTGCCCCATTTTCACCTCTCATAATTACTCTTTGTACTTTGCCACATGCTCCTTATCTTTTTTGATAAGTCTCTAATTTTCTTCTATTAATTAAACGCGCCCTAGCTCATTTCAAGCGACTAAGAGCGATTTCCCCCAAATCTCGCTCACTACGCTCGTACGCATCTATAGATGATATACTTTTCAGTCTTCCGTTATGAGAATGTGCTTACAACCCCATTAAGATTGGGTGTTTTCCTCTATATAAGATGTAATTTTTCGCACTACGACCTCACACATCTTACAATTTTTCCTCGCTCGCAAACAATTTTTTAGACAATCAAACCCAACTCCAAAGCATCATGCTTTAAGCAATGTCTTGTGTGGTGTATAAAGGGAAACTAATATTGAAATCAACCCGATAATTTTAATCACAATGTAGGGGTATATACCAATGTCTAACAAATTGTATATTTTCGCTTTGAGATTTTTCCTTGGTAGGTGCCTTTTTTTTTCCAGAAAGTGCCCTTTTTTCTTGGTTCCCCCCCCCCCCCCCACTTTGGAAGACGTTCGGCCGCCTCTGGTCTGAGGTTCGGTAGTAGCAGCAGCAGTGTTTTCCCTTGTATTGTTTGCTGGCATGGTGGGGAGTATTTGTTTACCTTTTTATGTGAAATATTATGAATAGCCTGGGCCTGCAGACAAGAGGCAGGAATTTATCGTTGAATAGAAGGTGAGCCGTTGGTCAAAGGCTTTCTGGTTCAAGTTCAGGGCTCAATAGGTAAAGTCTGAATTGACTATTTTCACTGTCTAAATAGTGGTACGCTCATTTTGGGCTAAAGGGGGCGCTAGAGCCATAGAAGAGCCGGGCTGGGTTGATTAATTGTACGATTATTAGTTTGACTTGGTATACACCTAAAAGTTAAATAGCATTAATTATGTTTCCAATAGTATGCCGGGAACGGGTAAACAACCCCTGGTTTTGAATTCTTGCATTAGATTAAAGTGTTCATTTCGAAAAGCACGTTGGAAATGAATTCCTGCATCAAGATGTACAGGTGTTCATTTCCAATAACAAGTTATAGACAATAGACTGTTTTGCCGGGGACGCGACATTCTCGCGAAGAGATAGACTCCTCCCATATTTGTCGGTGACTAGTTCAGATAACACTCATCTATTATGCTTTGTCATTGGTTATAATTAATTAAAGGTATAACTCCTCTCTTAATTGGTCGGATGACCTAACGGTAATTTGATATATCCCGTCTTGTAATTGGTTGGCTCCGTAAGAGTCCTCCTGGTTGGCTGACAATATCATGTAATATCTAAGCCTCATCGGGTGCCGCGGTATTTAAATGCGAGGTGCGGGATTTTGAAGTCAGTTTTAGTTGATATTATTTGAGAGTATATTATTTGAAAGTTTATTTCATTCCGTTAACATGTTTAGGATGTGCTGCTAGTTACTGTCAATATGGCCGCCCAGCCTCTGAGAGAAGCAGTTTATTTACAATGTTTTTATAATAATAATACTCTTCGTTTGCAACGATTGGAGCTTCGGCTGATATATATATTTAATAAAGTGGACTTCAACTGTAATGCCGAGCTTCTTGTGTTTTCATTTATATTTGAACTTGTCATCTTCAACTCATTTACTGGCCCACCACAGAACATACGGTTTGTATTCCGCGCGCGAAAAAAATTGACCTGCTGACCTGAGCTACCATAGCAACAAGACCACTTTGACTCGTGGAGCGGTTTGAGCCATAAAAAAACTGCTCGGAGTGTGAACGCTCGCAAACCGTTCCTCAAGACCCGTTCCTCTGGAGCGGTCTAACTAAGACCACTTTCAAAGTGAGTGAGAACGGGGTCTTAGAAGCCATGTTTAATTTTGACATTCTACCATATGCGAAAATCATTCTGATACATAATGTTCACTTTTGACTTGTTTACGATCGTTTTTTGGATAGAGAACATGATCACATATACTTTCGAGAAATCAACTTCGGAGAAACAGGCAATGTTTGTAATGTAATCATCATACATATCTTTGAAGTGCCTGGTTACGAATAAGTGTACTTTAATACGGGGTATGTAATTGTCTCCATTATTTGGTGTACGTGGGGGAAGCCATAATAATTTGTCCTACCTAGCAACAAATTATATTATGTAGTCTGCATTCTGAACTTTGAAATACTTGTACATGTAAACTAATTTAAAATGACAGGTGGATATGATAGCTCGTTGCTAAGTAAACTCGAATGAATTTAAATATACATATTTAAAATGGCTAATTTCAACACCGGATGATTTGTCCCATTAATATCGTAATGGGATTGCGTAATACGTCTTTGTTTTCTGTCAACTCAAAAATTATTTTACTGATTTGTGTATGAATGTATAATGCTGTATATATGTATCGCAATATCATGTAACACGGCGAATTTCAATTGTTAAATGGACAATAAATATGTACCTTGTTGTCATGTTCGAAAAATGTCAATAGGTACAGGCTGTTGGTATTAGCATAACAATGTATTTCAATATATGTATGCTCTGACCTCTTCAGAGGCCCTTGATACTGACTATTTGATTAACCTGGGCTGCGCCTCACAAAACCGTCATAAGTACAAGTTCGGCGACATCCCATTAAAATGCGTGTATTAAGTTTAACACGCGTTTCAATAGGATGTCGCTGAACTTGTACTTATGACGGTTTTATGAAACGCTGCTCTGCTTTACATAATGAGATTTCAAATGGCAGAATCTACTGTGGACTCATTTACTGTTACAATATCTGGTAATAATCTGACAAGCTTTCGAATTGTGAAGGAAATTCTTTTTTAAAGAAGTATGCATAACGTTAATAAACTGACCATTTCCTTCGGGGGTTTTGTTTAATTATTTGTGATCGTGTAGCCTAATATAGTAGCTATTATGACAAAATGAAATTTAATAAAAACGAAATTTCTTACCTATTTGTGAAGACGTTAAGCTCATAGCATACCCCTCCTTGTCCTGCAAGCATAGACTGCTTTATCTCGTCCCAAGAAGGAATTCTTCTCTCACCTAATGGTATTGCATAAGTATTGGTGACATTCTGGAAAGGTTGTCGAAAGTGTGATCTCAACGTGATTTCCCGAAGAAGCCCGAAACGATCTCGGCTAAACTTCGTGCCAGCCGAATCGATACCGAGTGTGTGGCGAAGATAGTGAAATGCCTCCTGCGCTGTAAGCCGAAGTGAATCGAGAATAGGTGTTTGTGATGAACTTTCCAGCCTATCCTTTTTGTGCGCCTTCTGATGAATTAATTTCGACTTCATGGTTTTGTGACAGAACTTCATTGGATTTGCTAGGATGTAACGATGTGACATGCATTGTGACACCGGGTAACTTGACGAAGTAGTCACGATACATGGACGCAAACTTGATATTAATCCGCAGGCAAACATACTTTGTGAGTAGCCACTAGCGTACACCCGACGTAAACTGAATGTCAATGTCCAATGGCACTCAATCTCTATATCCGTCTCACCAAATTGAAAAAGTAGAATCTAGTGATAACAAAGGCGGAGATCCCGGGTGAATGGGGGAGGGGTGGGGGAGTGAATATCCCCCCACTTTTCGACCAAGGGGGCATGGCCTATGTAATCATCCCCATTGCCTATGTAATCGTCCCCAATGTTATGCATATGTTTATGATAAAATGCTCGCCGCAAAGACTTTTATATTGCATAAATCCTAGCTATATTTGTTTGTTTTGTTTTTATTGATTCACATTCCACAATATAACAGTTATCAATAGGCCATTTTCGTAATGTAACCAAATTTAATGCATAGGTATTTGTAAATTGCCTCAATAAAAATTATTTCATTCACATGATAGGAATAATAGTATTTCAATAGTCAGAATGCAACTGCATATATCAAGTGTTGCTAGGTAGGTCAAGCTATAATGTTTGTCCAAGATGGCAACAACTTATGTATGCAGTTCGGATTCTGTCTATTGAAATACTATTATTCTTATCAGGTGAATGAAACAATTTGTATTAAGGCACTTCTCAAAGACTTATGCATTACATTTGGTTATATTACGAAAATGGCCATTTGCTGTGGTAGAACATCCCTTCATTGTTATTATGTAAAAATGTGTAGACCAGGTGAATATGCATGTGACACCTGTTCTACAAATCTTTACATAATACCAGGGAAAGGATGGTCCTTTGTCTACCTGAGGAACTGTATATGTTATGCGCACGCGGCATATACTAGTACCGTACTAGATTTAGGAAAATCAAGGTTGACGCATTCTCGATCGCCGACTTAGACGACGTGACGCATGCGCAGTGCCTTAACATGACGTCACACGTTGCAGTCAAAGCTGTCGACGTGCAAATCTAAAAGTCCCTATTGTTTGAAGGGCAAGAACAGTGCGTACGGGGATAGATGAGTCTATCCACAAACAAAGTAATATATAATTCATACTCATAGCCCCATTTCTAAATGTTATGTCATATAAACATAAAATGATACAAGACGACCCCTCACCAAAAATCGTGCATTCCAAAAGTTTGATCTTGGCTGACAAGTTGTAACTTGACTACATCTTATTTGCCCTTTAGACGCATACTTAAAATCGGATGCCTCAGGCAAGCCTCAGTTTTAATATATAAATGATTGCTCGTTGTCTTCACATCTTGCTGTTAGATTGAGATGCTTGGTGTGTTATACTTATGTATATCGTATTACAACATGTTTTACAACTTACAACTTATGTTTTACAGCATGTTTTTAATAAGTTCATACCTCGTTTAGTTATGCGGACATTCGGAACTTTTTTTAAAACTCAGAATAGCAGCGGAAGTGGTGTGCATGAAAGAGGAGGCGGGATATCCGTACTGCTATCACTGCAACATGGGTAAATTGCATTATTTCATTATACCTTGATTCCTGGTATTAAACCTTTCCGTAGTAGTTTGTTTCTAAGGATTTTTACGCTTTACAAAGCTATCTAAATCAACACAAAATACTAATAAATGTTGTAGTAAATAATTATTTCGAAAGCAATGTTTCAGCAATTATTATAATAGTGTTTCCGTTTCATGGTCTGACTGGTCTGGTTGTATTTATGAAGCCTAAATGTTCTATTCAGCGCCTGCTTCGCCCGTCCACAATCATTAAAATAAAGCTTTAAGAGGTTTCTCCCTTTGTCAATTTCAAGAGGTTTCTTTGATAATAGTTAGCCTGTAATTCCACAATTGTTACAAGTGCATACTACCCTTTTGTTGAAATGTACTTTAATACTTAAACTCTGATGAGCTTAGGATACTGCACTCCTCTCTCTCTCTCTCTCTCTCTCTCTCTCTATCTCTATCTCTATCTTTCTCTCTATCTTCCCCCCTCATCATTCCTGTTCTTTTATTTTTGTTTCCATCTTCTTCCTTGTAAATCCCATTCTCTTCCCTTTTCTCTCTAGCTCTCTTTATCTTTCTTTCTCTCTCTCTTCCCCCTCATTCTTCCTGTTCTTTCACCTTTTCTTCTTCTTCCTTGTCGTTCCCGTTCTCTTCCCTTTTCCCTCTCTCTCCTTGAACTAAACTCGTTATTTGTGTCCCTTTACTCATTATTGAATACAAGTTAGATTTTGTTTTTCCTAAAAGGGGACCTATGTAGCCTCACAAGCTCTGCTTTTTGTATAGGTTTCTCCACTTTTTCTCAAATTAAGATAAATTAAACATAATTACATTTCTACGATTCCTTGATAGTGATTCAATGTTTATGTTCAATAAAGAGGTAATTTATGTACATCACTTAATAAATACAACATTATTAATTTACCGATTTCGGTAATGCACTGCTTTGTTTTGTTTATGTGTTATTTTTTGTAATATAAGAAAGTGAAAGTAAATTTGAACCATTGAACCATTACTTGAGATATGTCGGTCATAACAGGTTAAGTCCACACTTGGTAATCTACAACACCTTTTATAGGGTGAACTGAGGAATGATGTCAACATACCATTGCGAACCCACTACTCTGAGCCATTAATGGGTCTACAGCATTGTTTTCATTTTTTCATTTTTTTTCTTTTGTCCAATCTAAAACCTTTCCTCGTTGCAATCTATAAAACAAAGATTGGCCAACATGTTGGTCACAATCCTACGTATACCGTTTGTTTGCCAACCAAAGTCCTTCTCCCGCAAATAATTGTATAATGTTCCATATAATCAGCATTTATGACAGCTCATCATATCGTTTTTTTAAATAACAATTGTTATATATATTTGCTTATTTATGAGTCACTGTCAGAAAAAATGCGTATTGTATTTTATATTACTATTGTTATCTACAAACTGTGTACTGATGTTGCGATGAACTGGCCGCGATTTTCTGTGAATTTACATGTAATTGGCTCTCCCTTACCGAATTTATAGTTATGGTGATTGTTTCCGTTGTATTTGATATGAGGCCGGCCCTGGAATTAACTTCCTGTCCTCGGAAATGCTACATACGTGCTTATCCTTATCCTGGATGTCTGGAAATAATGACGAAATAAAAGGTAAGTTCACACGCCTATCCGCTAAAGACAATCCGTTATTGATTTAATATCGCGACAATTACGAGAAGCTGGGGCCTTCTCTCGAAGTTATATGTCGTATGGATGCAGTAAGGAGCACTCGTTTTTTTGTTACAGTCCAATTCGTGAGAAAACATTTAGCGGCGAATCAGCCAACCAGTGATAAAAGCGGGAGGGGGTGGGGAGGGAGTAAGGGGCACAACTTTCTTTTTTATCAACACGCACCCCCTTCATTAAGCAAGCAAACCCTGTGTTATACCCGTTGTTGTTTTTTTTGCCGGGGGGGGGGGGCGTGCCTTTCGCCCCCACCCCCTGGATCCGCGCCTGTGTATAGAAACAAAATGTATGCGCGTTGCAGTTGCTAGAATCAAACCACGATTTGTTTGTATATTAGTAAAGAAATGTATACTTATAGATGTTTTTTATATGAAATATGGCAGTGGTTATTAGGTGTTATATATCTAATATTCACACTGTATTGTTTGTAATTATATCTTCATGATTGGAAGATTTGATAAAATATGAGAATGAAATCTCTGTTTTTGCAACGTTTCCTTTGTCTCCCCATTACATAATGTTATGTGAGAGATTCTTTCATGGCTTGTAGATTGAAAGGTTGTATACCGCTCGTTTCGGTCGCATGTGAACCACGGTAGTTGTTAGTGGATAAACTTATCAAACTTAAATTTAACAACTATTACGGTCTCAAGTAGACACAACCAATGACTGTTGAAACCTAGAACTTGAGAACAGGTACGACTACAGAGTTTAACTGACGCTTTTTCATAACCTATCGAAACCAATATCGAGTTCCTTTTCCTTTTCCTTTGACCCATTATAGGGATTATTATTTCACCGAGAAAAGGGTCAAATAGGATTTAAAGCAAACACGTTGCATGAATATTGCATTTTGAAACGAGGGCGGACTAGTCATGGGGACATGGGGGCACCGTCAATGAATGGACACTTTCTGGAAAAAGGGGTACCTACAAATGAGAACCTCAAAACGAAATTACAATTTTTCGGCATTGGTAAATGCCGCTGCACAGTGATCACATTATTAGGGATAATTTAACGATTGTTTCTTTCTTTATATGGTCAAAGATGTGGTTTAAAGCATAATGTAATCATGACTGACTGAAAATACCTTTAGTAAACAACATGATTTATTACCTTTAGGCGAGTGAGCTTGACGAAAAATTAAATAAAATGTTGTTCTATGTCGCTTTAGATTGCGGGCACTGGTTATGGAGAAAGGAAAAAGGGGCACTCATCAGAAGGGAATTCAATTCAATTCAATTCAATTTAAAATGGTTTATTTCAAATAAAACTTTCATCGCGGCGTTTACCCGAATTACAAAAGTTTACAAACAAAATTAATAACACAATGTATTATATAACATAGCATAACATGATATATTGAATTTGTAAAATAAATCAGTATAAATACGAGAAATATAGCTTATTGCAACATATGGGAACATAATTTAGAAAGAAATCTGAATTAAATAGCATTAAGTAGCACTGAAATCATGTGAACGAAGGACTAAAGTAAGCAATAAGCGGTAAACGGAACAAGTGCTGGTGGTGGAAAAAACGAGAGTACAATTTACAGAGGGAGAGTGTTAAAAGGCTGAGAGGGGGAAAGATATAGGAAATAGGAGTAGAAAGCGACAATGGAAAATTCATATAAGAGGATACGGAAAAGAAAGGAAAAGAAGAAGAAGACGATGATGATGAAGAAGAGGAAGAGGAAGAAGAAGAAGAAGAAGAAGAAGAAGAAGAAGACGAAATGGAAGGAGGGAAAAAAAAGAAGTAGAGAAAGGGGAGATAAAGATAAAAGACTTAAAAGAGCAAGAGAACAAAACAAAGTGAAAAAATACAACCATGCCTAAAGTAGACAAGAGAT